CGGAACGTTCAATTGGAAAAAAGAATGGCTTCAGTCGTCTTTGCTTAAATATTATGATATGTTTTCTTTTTATGATACCAAGGCACAGGAGAAACAAGTCGTGAGCCTGGTGTTAAGCAACACTCCTGTCCATGTCAGTTGCAGTGCCACTCAGAGCTTTAAATCGCAAAGACACGTAATTAACATTGGCGTACCATAACAACTTCCACAATTTTGTTACTAAGAATACAACAATACAACACGATTATTGAAATAATGACTGAAGCAAGGAACGGGCTTATTAAATAAATAATCGGCCCACAAAATACCCCGGTGAAGGGACCAAACCGGTCCTTTAGATAGGATCATGGCGCAAGGACAAGCTGCGCAATGGCATTAATGATTTTACATTCCGATAAACTTAGGAAGTACAGTAGGTTAACGGTAAATTATAAAAATACTTGATATGTTTTGTATATATTATCCAAGCGTCATATACTTGGATAATATATACAAAATTTTTTTCCTATTTATTCCCTAATTACTATATATTTATTTTTTTACTAAAATAACTAGTTATTCCAAAAAAAGCCCTTCCTATCATTATGCGTCCTTTAGCTACAAAAGTGTAGAAAGTGTAGCTAAAAAAATCCCAAATCCCTAAAACTCGTCGAGTACAAGTTGTTTATTTTATTAACGTACGCTAAGACGTTTCAGGGTAATTAAAATTAAGTACTCGTGTATATAGTTGTAGTGAGATCAAAATAAAAAATATATAGTAGCAGTAGAGCTCCTTGTGTAAGAGTTCGTCCAGGGTAGTACTGCCACGTCACCTATTTCTGCCGCCAAGCAGTAATGTGAGCATTGCTGCGTTCTGGCTTGGAAGGGCAAGGGTGATGGGGAAATTACAGGCACATAAGACTTGTCAACTTATGTCTCAGGGTGACGGGTGCTGTGGCAGTGCCCCTCAGATCTTTGCGATTAAAGCTCTGAATGGCACTGCAACTGTTATGGACCATAAAAAATGGATCATAAAAAATATTTTAAATAGTGGAGCAAAAATGTGTCAATTGTTTGGTGATTTTGCAATATGTAAAGACCCGCATCAAATGCTAATTGGGAGATCAAACAGGAACCTTTCGCCTTTCAGGTATCTCATTTGGCATTGTTACTCATTATTCTTCTACTTTCATCCCCTTATTTGGGGTTCCGCAGTATGCCTTCCTTTTGTTCCTGTCACTTGATATTATAAAAAAAATACTTGTTAGGCGTATTGGTACAATAGAGTAACAATTGATGCTAAAAGTCAATCCATAATTTCAGGTTCAAAATCAAACTTGCCACTTGCTCTTGAAATGTTCTTCGACTAGATATTGCGGTTAATACTTGGATGTGCGCACGCGTTGCCGGTACGATGTCGCAAACGCACCCGCGCTGCGCTCCGCCGAGCGCGCACGACCGGCCGGGCTTCCGCTTGTTATTTGTAGCTGCTCGCAAATTACTAAGGCCGCGGTCGTCCTTACTTTTTAGATGCTGTTTTCATTTGCCTGTAAGGTTCCAAAATGGTGCCAGGATATCGTCTGAGTTTTTCAGCCATTACAGTCTACTACGCCACCCCTTTCGAAGACTTTGAGTCTTCGAACGGTGTCAAAATATTCTGACACACAGACTTTCTTACGACATTTACCTTCACCGTTATAAGGTAGGAAAATAAACTACACAAGATTGTAAAACCTGAACTAGCACACTCCTGAATTAAAGGTAGAGTGTTCTGCGAGTAAAGTTATCGTCGCTGCAACAAAGAATTAAAATATTCTCGGAAGACAACGACTGCGTATTTTTTAAGAAAATGAAAATTTGAAAGACGAATGAAGGTGACAATGACAGAAAGACAAATTAAATGTATGGTTTGGTTTTAATTATTATTAACTATACTACGTAATAACGTTAATAATAACTACGATAAAAATGTACAGTTAACGAATAGCTCTCCAATGTGGAAATAAGTACATACAGGCTTACTCTACTGAACATATTATTCCAAAATTTATAAGTGTATGCAACTTGTATACAAGTTCTTAAATAATGTAAACGCACCTGAAACTTTTTTGACCTTTATAAACAGATTAGTACTAGTTACAATTATCAGCAGTAATTTAAGCAAATTACTTAATTTTTTATTTATTACGTTTGATTTCAAGTTCGATGCGAGCACCATTCGGCGGCTAAATCGTCTGACAAAGCTGCCATGAATTATAGATTTGTCAAATTAGTTTTAAATACGCAAAACAGAATCGTATTGATGACTTAATAATATATTATAACTAATTTAACGAATGACATTCATTGGCACGGTGCTCTTAAATGAAATGGGTATCAATGTGTCCGCCAAGTTCCTAAATCAATTACCTCACCCTACCCCTCAATTTACTTAAAACTTTACATGGAAGCGTGTACATTTATTCCCAGAGCATGCGAAACAGAGAGAATGCGAGGTAAAGCTGTGTAAGATATTTTTAGTCTCGAGCTTCTTAAGCCAATGTTGTCACTATCCTGACCTAGGGCTTTCGATCAACTTTTCAACGTGACTAGCTATAGTATAGTCCCGCGTCTCACACTAAGAAGTATAAGGAATTACATGGTACAGTTGCGGCTGTAGCTTTTCTACCATCATACCATATCATCTCTGGAAAGGCGAAATTACTAACCTCCAAAAGGCCAAAATGGCACTTTAGTACTTTCGTCTTTCCAGCGACTATATATACGTTCTACCTCTAAGCGCGAGTCTCCTCTTACACAACAATCGACCACTAGCAGATTGGGGATATCACAAATCCTCAGTCTTTTTTAAAGACTTTTTTCAATATAGACCCAAAGCGAATCGTTATACTTATGAGCCACTTTTCTTCTCAATATTTTCCTAACAGTAATTATCAGAGCTACAAAGTCAGAATCTCCATTAGGTTTTGCGAGTTTAACTTGAGACCAGAGAATTAAACCTTACTTATCGTCGGAGAAAGTGCAATTACCCGTATCTAGCAATTGATTATGAGTCTCCATTTCGGTAATTAAGTGACCAAATCACTCCGCGTAAATGTCGTGGCAACCAAATTAGCGCGATTGACGGAATCTATTGTTATCAGTCCGTAGACAACATAAATTAATGCTTACCGTGCAAAAGTGAAAGTCGTAGCCATTGAAATAACAAAGTAATAAAGTTACATCCCTCTTCTGTGAAATTTGGTTTGGTCGAGATACGCGCTTTTTACGAATACTACATACGCGGATTTGCACTATCCTCGACGCTATCACTTATATTGTAAGGTGTACAATCAGTGTGTACAAATTGTAGATCAAGACGACTTCTCTTGCCCTCGTCGTCTTTTGTCCAAAAAAATGTCGGGCTATTTGAATTCCTGTCAGTCTAGTGTGTCTGTCCGTGTGGCCAGTTGGTCCGCTGGTCGTGGAAGCTAGGCCGAGGAGGCTGGTCATCCATAAAGGCTAGCCGCGAGAACCGAATATTGTCCACGCTTTATTGATCTTTCTCAGCGATGTTTTGGATAATATAAAGAAGGATGGCGACATCTCGTGTATTTTGTGACCTAGTGTTTTTGACGAGACGTGCATTAAAGAGACCTATCAATACTTGTGATTCATTATCAAAGCATCTAAAAAACTAATTGAGTGCAGCCTGTAGAAGCTGGGGTCATAAACTTGATACAGGCTATATTTATAAGATTGTCCTATACTTCGCGTCAGATGTTTGTTGATAGTAGCAGATAACAACAAGTTTTCAGTTTGTTCCTAAAAAGAATAAAGAACTTGCTCAATATTCCTAAATCTGCCAGACTGTGCCACATTTAATACAACGTTAACATGTTCGTCGCAACGAAAATGAATAAAAATTAAATCTGTCCAAATGGCAGAAATCTGCCACAAGTGGTCATACTGTTCTTAATCTCAAAGTGACATTGATATTGGCAAGAGGCCTCTTGTCAAAACGTCTTTTGCTAACTTTCGTATCTCCCATTCAAATATTGCCTAAACATTTTTATCACATTTTGTTTTAATTTTTTACTTTATGTCATTATTGTTTATTTGTTAATTGATTAGGTATTTTACAGCTTTATGTACTATAAAATAACCAATACTTTAGGTAGGTAAACAGTCAATCATAAATTAAAAATGAACGTATGTACAAAAACGTTACCTAATCTATGGTCGAACTGAATCAATTGCGTCGTGTTGTTGCATCTACTTTAATATATATTGTTTCGACTTCTAAAAATATACAAAAATATATTAATAACTAGGGGTAAACTAAAACGTAAAATTATACTAGCAAAGTCCGTAAACGGCACTTCGTTGATTTTGGGTCAGCTTTCGCCATTCTTCTTTTTATATACATGCAGCCATAGACGCATACCACACCTAGAGGTGCCGGTGATGATTTTATACCGATTTATCGGATATCGAAGTTATAACAGGTAATAGAACTAATATCAATTGCTATTTCGGTAACTACTCTAGCAAACCATAAAGTTTTTAATGCCTGGGCCTGTCATTTAAAAAAATAAACAACTTCAAAAATACGTCACGACAATCGTGTGTGTTATTGTTTGGGCTGGTGATTTCGGTGTTTATTTATTGAAAACATACCGTAAGTAGCGTTTTTTAAGTTTACCTTGAATATAAATGTTTATAAACTATACTTTAAGGAGTAATATCATGGTAAACGTAAGAACCACTCAAACGGAATATTATCATATTTATCCAAGTACACCAAAAATTTCATTAGTGCTTTTTAAGTGCAGGATTTGATATGTATTACTGCATTTTATTTGAGATGTTTTTATTGGTAGTACGGAGGGTATTTATTTAGTTACGCAGAATAATAATTTTTATTTATAAAAACTTGTATTTAAACTGAATGCTTTTCTAATTTGCGAAACCAAATAGCCGCCATTTTGCGGTAGGAGGAGCGCATCGCGTGAGCAGATAGATAGATTTAATTAATAAAATGGAGAAGTACGACCAGTATTTGACAATGCAGATGATGCCCTAGCAACCTTATACAGCGGACATTACCCGTAATAAATCAAAATTAAATTAAAATAAGGTATTTTTTATTTGCATTGATAAATATTATTAGAAATTCCTGATATTATCATTTTTACTGAAAGAAGGCAAAGGTCAGTGACGGCGATCTTTCAGAGAAACATCATGGCTCTCGTTTGGTTAATTCATAGTTGGATTCAATAGTTTAAACACTGTAGTTTGATGGTCAATACAACACCGTCTCGCGATTATATGGCTCCTGTATAAAAGAGTGACCGTGTATCATAATCATAAGTTGAAATAGTACAGGATTTATGACCCCATCAAAATTCAATAGCGGGACTGCAGCAGTCTGTATCGAATACAGTAAGTAGGTCAGAACAAACAACATGCTCAAATTATTTGGCATTTCCTGCAATAGACACTTAGACATTTATTTTAATTCAGAAGATTTGAAAAGTTTATTAAATATTGACAAGATCTAGAATACGAGTATCTTAGAGTATGAAATTATGAAGAACGTGCAGAAGAGTATCATGGCGGAGAATCCTAAAAAATGGAAGAAATTCTTCTCTTTTTCACCTACGAAATTTTATTACTAAAGAATAATTGAAGCAGAGTTTATAGAGCACATTTATTAGTAAGTCTTAAGGACTTGAAGTAACTTTAAGTTTGCCATGTTTACTTAAAAGTTTTGTTCTTAATATGTATATGCTGTGGTTTAAGAACAAGGTCCCTTGGATTGGCATGTTTAATGGCATGCTTGATGGATTAACCAATATAAAACTGTTTTCTAATTCCGATAATATTATTATCCCTTTAGCCTATTTATAGGAAAGCAGGTTTTTATGAAGTAAATTTTTGTGCAGTATGATAATAAATATGGTGTAATAGTAATTACTTCTTTTAGATTCAGTAGTGATTTGTTCAGACATAATTCGTATAAAAGATACCTCAAACTTCAATAACAATACTTGACTTTAAACAAAAAGAATTTGTTTAAATTAACATCATATCGATTGTCCGTTCTTAATCCGAGCGTTCAAATTTCATATAAAGATGAACCGATATGTTTACACAATCATCCGACGACGCTCACACGATTTTTAGTTAAAATAAACGTCAAACGTATCCACGGTATATTTGTCCTCAGTGCTCTCATTAGAATTTGATCCTTGTTTTTCCGATTTCTCAGTCGTTCCATAATCTAACGAATTTAAAAGATTCATTTCTTTTCTATAAATTAGATCTTCTGCACTTTGTTTTGTCCGTTTTTGTTCTTCGTCTTTTGATATATTACTGATATTATCATTTCTATTTAATTTTCTACGGTGCACTGCAACTTCTGTTGCAGCATAAATTTTATTTTGAGTTGTATTTTCAGCCGCTGTCCGATTTGCCCCTTTTTCTTCTTCTTCATACGTTTCCTCCATCCAGTCTAAGTTAGATTTACTCTGACTGACTGAAACATCACCGGGTTCGATATTCTCACCTATTAAATTTGTTTTACTGTCTCTGAAAATCCTTCTAAATACCTCAGGGTCTTCCTTTTCTACACTAGAAGGTGAGCTTGTTGCTTTAGGGTCGACAATAGGTGACTCAGGATTTGATTCCTCCGTCATCTCGATAGTATCAGGAGATACTGTAGAACTGGAAGCCAGTTCCTCTTCAACATCACCGTCAAATACGTCAAATTTAAAACTATTATCTTTTTTTTCATCTTTTTCGAAATCCGCTTGTCTTGCTATTTCGCCGCTAGTAGCAAAAACTATTGACGGAGTAAGTTTCTTTGGTATGTCTGTCGTAAATGATAATGATCCTTCTAAAAGTGCTTTTATTGCAGGAGTTGTAGGCTTGTGTATTGTATAGTACTCCGGTACGTTAATAGAAGGATGAGGTTTGGCTCTTTTGTTCAAAAGAAATGAATCTTCGCCTTCTTCGTCATCTATGCTTTGGCCGTTTAGGTTGAACTTATGATACCTCAATTTAAATTCCTCAGCTTGCGAACTTGAATTGTCTTCTTTTGAAAACTTTATATCTTCCTTTGAAAACTTGATGTTTTCTTTTGAGAATTTTATGTCAGAGCTACTTTCTGAGCTGTTGACTTCAGTCAAGAATTTAATTTTGCTGGATTCAGTGGTGGTGACATCAAGAACTTTCTTAACTACTACGGACTTAATTTGTGGAGCCTGTTTGATAGCGTCGATTAACAGATCTATCCCATCATTCACTAGAAAAACAAACTAATTTTACTTATACTTTATTGATACAAAAAAATGAAATCTAAAATAAATAAATTAATGGCCTACTTATGTTCAAATAATAAAAAAGTATTGTATGGTTTGATAAAGAACTTTATTTACTTGATGGGCTAGAGAGAGAGTAAATCGAAAAGTGTTATGGGTTACACATTTAGAAAGCATAAAATATATTTACTGTACTTTACCTGGAAATGTGTCCAGTGGATGATTCTGCTTTAATAAATATTCCATCAACGTCAGTAAATATTCTAATGAGTCGTCATCTTCCAGTTCTCTCTTCTTTCTGTTTTTGGACGTCAGTCTTCGCGCGAGATCCTTGAGTTTTCGAAGATTCTTTATTACATTCTTAGAGTAAGTACGAATGGCCTCAGTTCTGTTTGTTAGACTATCATGTGACACATTTAAAGCCGTAGTCGTTGTGTGACCAACTACTTTATTTATGGCCTTTACATCAACTTCATCGAAACTACCAATCAATTTGTAAATCTTCTTCATAAATATATTTTGTAATAGATTATATTTTAATATTAATTTTTTTATCTTATTGAATGGATCACCGTGATCATGGACATAGATTTTTCCAGTTTTAATTGTTTCGTTACCTAAAGCATCTCTTGAAATACGTGTGAAATTCTCTACTTTCTCAGCGCTTAGTTTACTATAACTTTTGGCTACTGTATCATTGACTACTTTTGCGTACATATTATTTTGCCCGACGACATTTGCGTTAACTGTAGTTAGAATATTAATTATATCATTTAATATTAAAGAAAATCTAGTTGCAGATTTTATAAAACTCTGTGTATTATTCTTTACATAGTCCAATTGGCATTTCTGTGTTTCAGTCAACTTATCAACATTTTCCTCTGTAATATATGTTCCTATGAGAATAGAGTGAAGCTTATGTATGTCATATTTGAAAGCTGTTTTTCTGGTTACATTCTTATTGCTAGGTAATTCTCTATCAGTTTTTGCAAAGTCTAGAAATTTGAGTAAACCTTTAATGATTTTAATAGACTTTAACATTTTGTATGTTTCTGCATTTAGAGCCTCTATGTCGCGTTGTAATATTTTTTTGTTCTTTAAGTTAATATTACAAGGTCCAAAAGTTTCACATAGAGTCTCTATAACACTCTTCTTATTCAGCTGAGGTAAAACCGTTTTATTATTAATACGTTCCTTGCGCTTCATTTTTGAGAACAGGTTTTTAAAAAATTTTTTTAGATATTTTATGATCTTGAACCTATTATTTTTAAATAGTTTTCGAGATTTATTATTCTGGTTGATTCCAGTTACAATGTTATGCATAATTTTTTTCAAACCGTCCAATTTACCAGTTTTTCTGCCTACCCTACGATTGGTCATATCTGTCTGGTTAAAATCCTTTATTCTCAACGATTTATTGGCTAGAATAGAAACTGTCTTTTCAAATTTATGTTTCTTTGGAACGCTGATTATTGTCCGTTCTTTGCTTATTGTGTTTATTTTCTGGACTAATAATGTTTGCTCGGTCTTTGAACTGAAGTTTTCAGCATTCAATGACCCCGAAATGTTCTTAGTTGTGTTAATAAGTAAATTCTTAGGTAAAGTTTCATTATTCTGAAAACTTATACTAGACCAGTTACTGATTGTAAAGTTTTTAACGTCCAGGAGTGTAATAGATGTATCAAATGTATTTGTTGCTTTATTCAAATTTGACAATTCTTTTCCCATGTCAAGTGATTTCCTTTTTATGCTTTTTTTCGAATTTAGAGGAATGATTCGCGTGAAGTCAATGCGATCTACTCCAGTTGTTTTATTCAAATTATCTATTGTATATCTGTAGTATGCAATTGAAACTTCAGTTGATGGGGGTAGTTTTTCAGCAGTTGTTTGTTTAAAGTATTTTAATGTATTTTGGGGATAACCTGAAACAAAACTAATTTGTTGAGAAATCAAATTAAGTAATTACTTACTTTCGATAATTCCGTAATCTTGAAAAGAATTGGAGGTAAAGTTAAGCAGATCTGAATTACTTACTTGTCTTGGACGTAAAGAACGACTGTAATTTTATCTAACCATACCTATACTATTCCTCAACTTTTTTGTCCACATTGACATACTTACCAAATTCTGCCACCGTTGCTTGGTCAAGTGTTTTGTTACTTGCAGCACTTATATACACGCCTCGCTTGTGTCTCTTATTAATTTTCATGTTACTAGATTTTTCGAAATAAATTTTCGATCTTTTTTGCAACTTTCTTAGAACAGTTTTCCCGTTCTTGGTTTTAGTTTTGTTTGCATGAACTTGCGTCAGTTTTTTACTTTTAGCGACTTGAATTTTTTTAATCAAAGAGCGTTTATTGACTTTGGCACCTTTGGATTTAGATGCTGTAAGAATTTGCTGATTTAACATGTTATTTATAGCTACCTTAGCGATTGTGGTTCCGGTTTGTTGCTGTTGGGCTACTTTTATCGCGGGAGCTATTGTTGTATGAGTTTGTTTTGATATGGTAGAACCAGTTTTCGTAGTTGGTTTGGTAGTTGTAAGAACGTTTACTTTGGTTACTTTCGTATATTTGCTAGACTCAGTGGATTTCGTAGTCTTTAAGATAGCTGTCTGTTTAGTTATAGGTGTGGTCTGTTCTATTAGGGTCTTTGTCAAAGCAATAATTTTATCATTTTTTACTGTAACTTTACTGTTGGAATGTTTACCCGATTGATTGTTTTTCAGTTTTACTTCTATATGTTGTGTTATCTGTTTGGGTGGCGGTGTTTTCTTTAGCTGTGGTTTCTTTGTCGTTCTTGGCAGTAACTTATTATTTTGTTTGCTATCGCGCCTTTGCGCAGGTTTACGTTCTGTACTTTTATATTTTATTAAATCCTTAAATAATTTAGCTTTCATGTTCTTAGCCATTCTCCTCACCGCCGCTGGGTTTCTTCCCCTATGCCTACTTCTAGTTGTAGTTTTATAAGTTTGACCTCTAGGAGTAGCCGCTGGGTGATAAACATTTTTGCGTCTCTTGCTTTGTTTTATTCTTCTCGTAGCTTCTCTTCTAATAATCCTCTCCTTAATATTAAGGTTTGGGTTGAACCTTTTAGTTTTATCAAATTTCACAGCTTGCGTCGGATTTGCTTTAGTAACTCCTTTCATTTTGTATACTCTTCTACTATTACCTTTCTTGGAATTATTAAATTTGCTATCTGCAAAATAAAAACTTTTTTTTTAATGTACACACTTAACATAGCCCCGCACTAGGGAAACCCTGTGTCGCGGGTGCTATGGACACGCACATAGACAACCACAATTACAGCCAAACTCACGAAAGAAATAAATGTAGGCCATACAAATATGTCTCCCGGGCCCGGGAATCCAACCTGGGACCTCTGCGTTGGCAGTCCGGCATGGTAACCGTTCGGCCACGGAGACAGTTAAATTAAATCGTTTATGTTTGTGGCTCTGCGGTTACATTTCATAAGTGAGATAATTAGAGTTCGGTTATTTCAACTTAGGAAGTTACCTAGTTGCATAGTTATGTATTTAAGTGCTCAGACTTGGTCTTTAACACAAACTCAGAAGATCAATCTCGGAGTTTGCCAGCGAGCTAATAGATTGTATTCGGAACTCCACGCTGCGCTCACAATCTCAGATTGTTGATGAAGGTAACTAGGAAGGCGGCCAAGTTGAAGTGGAATGGGCTGATACCGTATGTCGTATGCCGAGAGAGTGGTGGATCAAGACGACCACGGAGTGGAAGCCCCATAACTCATAACGGGTACGATTGTTTAGACTATTTTTTAAATTGACCAGATACAGTCAAAAACCGGGACCAATAGACAATGAGAAAAAATTGTCCAGCAGTTGTACAAAATATGCTTATTACATAGATTATTGATGTAATTATCTGGTACACGTATATTGTTTTGTTTTTAGGTTATCGAAAATACTTACTTTCAGGACAAAAACTGAGAATGTGACAGTCCCATCGTCCATCCTTGTTGCAATCACAAACTGTACACCCTTTACACCAGTCATCTTTAACAAGCATAAAGGTTCACATAGGCACAACTCAGATAATATGAATCTGATTAGAATTTAATAAACGTAATTGGGAAAAAAGTATTGAATTAAAAGGAATTAGCTGAACTTTGAGATCTCTTGACTAAAACCTAACTAAGAATTTAGCGTAAAGCACTAAATATTTAATTAAAGATCACTGACAAACAACAAAAAATAAAAGCTTGCTTTTTAGAAGTCATCTGGGCACCCCAGGAAGCCATGTATAAAGCTACCCTGGAGAAAATGCAAAATAAATTTACCAGATACTTGTACCTTAAAATTATACGGAGTTTCCCCTATTACCCTTTAATGTACCCAACGTTGTTCGTCCTAGATATGGTGTGGTACAATAAACTGGAAGTAAGGCGGGACCTGGCGCTAGTTAGGTATATTTTTGAATTGCTACGGGGCAAGCAGGACAATCCAGGTGTATTGGGGTAAGTAAAGTTGTACGCTCCTGACAAGAATCAGCTGCTGGGCCGAGCGCCATTTACGCGTGCCCTCGCTACTCTCAATCGACTAGGTGATACAATTGACTTACTTCATTGCGCTCTGAGTGAATTCAAAAGCCGTTGCCCTACATATAAAATGTTATGTTTCTTAAATTATTTTATTTATGTGCCTTCTCTAACGAATTGGGTTTTGCCCGTAGTGTTAGTGCTACGTTTTTATGCGTAAAAATAAATAAAAAGTCACTAATTCTCATTTTGCTATTCTAATTGTTTCCAGTAATACGAAGAAGAAATTTCACATCAAAACTTGAAATATGCTTACCAGGAGGACATCCTTCACTAAAACTAGCTTCATTGGGCTTGCAGGCCTTCCCCTTTGCTTTTTTCGCTGAAAATGTACAGAAGTTTAATAAATATTTTTGTCATATGTAATCCCATCCGTCAACACGAAGCATCAATTGAACTTGAGCGTTCGCGAAACTATAGTTTCTGTGGTTGCTAGTTCCTCAACCATATCATAATGGTGGAAAAAAGGAAAAACTGTGCAGGTGAAATTCTTGTCCTGTGTATGCACATATTGAATACCTGTACGTGGAATACTATCGGCATACCTGTGCGTGGAAAAAATCACTAGTTCAGCAATATTAATAAATTCATACCAATCTGTATATTATTTTCCAGCGTAATGTTATCACCTGGTAGACTTCGACGTCGTCTTGTGTCCCTGTCGATAAAGGGATTGTTTGATTTACTCTTGTAGGTAGTTCAATCAGGGACTTGTTGTAATTGAATATGTTGTGGAAACTATGGCCACAAAAGGGCTTTATAAATGATGTCATAAAATAGGTGTCGATAAAACGGTATGATAAAATGTTATCACAGTAAAGAGTACCCAAAAAATGAGAACATTGTAACTTTGCATTCGCTTTTTCTGTTTTTTGTGGAGATCAGATTCAGATCACTTCTTATGGACACAAGACATGAAATGATGAAACGTTGAAACATACCTTCTCCTAAAATGTCGATAGTACTTCTCATCGCATCTCTTGTTGTCCCTCGGCCAACAGACGGCAGTGTTATTCTCCTTGCAAAAGCAAAGATAACAGGAGCCAGGCAGCGCGTTAACTTGGGCGCGCTCGAAGTAATACCCCACGTTAGGACATGGCTTCTCCAGTTTCGTCACGTAGCTTGACTGTTTTGGTATATCTGGTGAAAATTATTTTTTAGTTATTCTCTAGGTAGACATTACAACCACCATAACACGCACTATGAACTGGCTGACTTGTGAGAGACTTCCAAGTAAGACAGTTCAGAGTGTCACTGGCTATTTGCACCCAGATCATGGCTGAATCTCGATGGGGATATGTTACAGCGCATTTGCGGTTACGGTAAGCGCCTGGTAGAAAGCGACATGCCTGTCCCAAGCAGTTGCAGTGCCACTCTAAGCTGTAAATCGCAAAGACAAAAAGGGCACTGCCACTGCGCCCGTTACCATGAGACATAAGTTGACAAGTTCCATGTAGGTACCTGTAATTTCACCAGCACCTACAAAATCGAAACGAAGTAATGCTCTCATTACTGCTTGGCGGTAGAAATAGGTTAGGTTAGGTTAGTCAGGAGCTTACCGGCGGGGTATGAGGGACCGAGGCGAGCGACCCGCTCCCCAAGAGGTGGAGCAGGAGCGCCGCCTTGCGGCGCAGCGCATGCGGGACCGATGGAAAGAGGGCTTGGCGGATCCCCACTATGGCGCTCGTACCATAGGGGCGATCCGCCCTGTCGTCGTAGAGTGGGTAAACTGGTCCCGCGGACCACTGTCGTACCATCTTGTGCAGGTGCTGACCGGGCACGGCTGCTTCGGACACAAGGTGGCGAGAAAGGAACCGTCCCCGTCATGCCACGAGTGCGGCGCTGCGGATGACACCGCGCAGCACACCCTAGGGGTGTGCAGCCGGTGGGATGAGCAGCGCCGCACTCTGATGGGGACTGTAGGGCAGGACCTCTCGCTGCCGAGCGTGGTTGCCGCCATCCTCGATAGCGAGCAGTCCTGAGAGGTGGTGGCCTAACCTCTTGCGTGCGACATAACCTCTGCGCAAAAGGAGGCCGCGGAGCGGGTGCGCGAGGACGCGGTAGACGCGCACCCGCTCCGGCGCAGACGTACAGGGAGAAGGCGAACGCAGTTCGCTGCTCGCCTGATCCCCTAGTGAGGCCAGCGGGCTCTGGACAGGGACTCCGGAGCCTGCATTGCACGGCCTCACTCATCTGGGGGGCGGGTCGGAGGACAAACGACTCGCCTCTCCGTTGTCGCGGGAACCCTGGCGTAAGCTAGGGCGGCCGGGCGACGTCGTGGTGAATGTTCACCGATCCCACGGCGCCGACTCAACCGGCGAGAGGAAAACCCCCCGGGTTTTAGCGGGGTAGGCCCTCCAGTATGGAGGGAGAGTCCCCACGTAACCCCTTAGTCTCCCTGGGTTCAGGGGTATTCATAAAGATATCCCCCTCGTCAAAAAAAAAAGGTTAGCCAGGAGCTCTACTGCTACTAAAAATATTACGGTATATTCCCATTGTGTTAGTGATTGTTAACAATAAACATAAATCCACTTTTGTTACCGACTTATATTTAAAATAATGACAAACCAGACACGGAAAAAACTTCCAACATATTTTCAGCACTTAATCATGTCTTCTTGCACAAAAATTTGCTTAAACTTTATATCACTGCATGCCACATACAGGGTAGTTAAAGCCTATTGATTAGTCATACAGGGATAGTAACCCTAGTACTGACACCAGATTCTCACAGTGTGCATAACAGTAACAAAATTATGATTTAATACTAAAACACAAATATTAATAAGAATTGGAGTAGTTATCCTACATTTCATGATAATATGAATTCAATTGACAACAGAATGCGGCAATATTTAATCTGTTTCATATCACGAACTCATCGAATCAGCTTCTCAATTATGTCCAATAACGGTTACATATAAAACACAAACTTAACCTAATGCAGTAAGAGCGAAATTTAATACTAAACAAGGTCCTGCATAAACTCTCCACGTGACTTCTAACACCGATTATTTACAGCCGAAGGAAATGACGTCAGTCTAAGCAATTTGCGAATCATATACACGAGAGAGAAGCTCCGTGGCAAACACGTCTCAGTTCAGTCAATTTCAAATTCGTGCGCAAATTTAAAGATTAATGCGTGAAGAAGATACGTATTCTGCAACATTGTAGCTGCATACCCTTAAATAACAAAGGGCTATGCAACATCAACAATTTAAAGAAAATTTCATGAAAGCGATACAGGTGAAGAGTACGTTATAAAAGTAACAACAATATATTAAACAAATATAGGTACGCGATTGAGATCCGGAAAAATAGTTTCATTTCCTAAGCATTCTAATTACCAAAGAATTCAAACCATGATTTCAAGAAGTTAAAAGAAATATATTAAATAGCTTTGAGACCAAGAAACGATAACGAAACACAGAACGTACGCAGTCGAAATAAAGTAGTTTATCTAATAAGCCGACTATCTGAGAAAGGAGACTAAAGAAGTAGGATGTAAAGCTATAACAAACTGAAAGAGGCCTATGTTTATTAAGTCTATGTATACTTATGATAATAATGATTAAAATATTGACACAAATGCTTTTAATAACAACATAAGTTACAAAGTGATGCATTAACAGGCAGATCAAAACAAAAAAGCTGATATTAAGAAATAGATATTATCGTCGGTTAAAAGGTAAAACTCATTAAGTGACATTTTGTTCAAA